AGCCATCCCCCTGCAGCCCCTCTTCCCTAGGGCCCTGTCCCCCCAGGGCGGTTGGGGTATCAGTGCAGGCTCTTCATCCGCACCATCACGTAGCCGGGGACAGAGGGCAGCGGGACAGGGAGGCTCCGCTCACCCCTGGATGGAGGCAGGAGAGCAGAGCTGCACATCCCCTCCCAGCACCAGGCACCCAAGGCACCCGCCCGCCCCAAGTGCAAGAGCCACAGATGTGCAGCCGCTGCTGAAAACCACAGCTCTCAGCGCAGCGTGTTTAATGTGACCTGACACCTCCTGCAGCAACTGCTTCGGCTTCATCTGCTGCCTTATGCAAGGCGGATGCCCTCAAGACTCCACCAGGTCCTGCAGCCACAGCTCTCCAGGTTGCCTGCCCGTGCTGTCTGTCTGTCCCACCCTGCGGCACTGGGCATTGCCATGCAGACACCCAGCTCATCACCGGTGCCCAAAGCCACTAGCAAAGGTCAGCTCCCACCACCACCAGGTCTTTGCACCACCATGAGACACGGGCATGCCCCTCGGCAAACCCTGCCGGGACAGCCAGCTGCAGGCAATAACACTTTAAACCACCGCAGGAAGATGCGCTAGCTCATCAGCCAAAGCCCCAGCTCCTCTCTTTTTGGAGAGCAGCAGCTTTGCATCGGAGGCAAGGAGTCCTGGTTTCCATCAGCTCTCCAGCAGAGACCTCAGCCTTGTGAGAATCTAACACACCAACCACCACAAAAAATACACAACGCAACCGACCGGGAGAGAAGCTTGAAGAGACACTGTAAAATTGATTAGTCATCAAAATCATCAGACCATAAAAGAAGCTCCAGCTGTGCTCCTCTTATTTGCATAGAGAAATGCAAGAGGCAGGGCTCTATTTAAAATTAATTCCTCCTTTTTTTTTTGTTTACTAGAGCTTAAGTTTCTCTGGTTGACAATTAAGCCCATTATCCAACTCTTTTCTTTTCCACAACCCCAGTGCCTTTTTTCTAGGCACAGCTTATGAAGGAAAAAAAAGGAAAATTACAATAAGTGCTATTTTAAAATGAAAAATGTGAAAATTTATAAAGCGCTCAGGAAGGTGTTTGAACCACTCAATCTTCTGTTTTAAGACACCAGCACAGGACTCAACACAAACAATTCCTTTCAAATCAACAGCAATTTCAAGTCGCCCTGCTGCGTACGAGCTCAAAGTTAAGCGCTGGCCCAAATGTGCTGCCAGATCCTTGGCATAAGTTTAAGAGGGCAAGAGAAAACAAAGGTTTAAGTTTTGGCTAGTGTACTTCTGCAAAATCACTGTCAGCACATGTTCTTCAGTTCACACAGAACCCAGCAGAGGAAATGCAAAGCAATAACTAACTTGGAGGCAAGCGGTTCTGAAGAACTGCGAAAGAAAAACCGTAACACAGCGTAACTCAGAGGATTGTCCAATGCTAGTCGTTAAGCTGGGTGCTTACAGCATCCCATTGCAAACCAAATCCTTTTGGTTCGCTTAAAACTGACCCACAGCTTTCGCAGATGCTGTGGCAAAACTACTGATTTTAATGGTTAACTCCTCATTTTAATAGTTACAACAACATTCCCTCACTGCAGACGCCTGCCTTACCAGAGGCTATTTGCTGTAGATGCTCTGGACAACGGTACCCCAACCCTGGGTACCACAAGGAGCCCACTGCAAACAACAGGTTTTCATGCCTGGGTACCACGGATGCCAAGAGCAAAACCTCAGCAGAGCCACGACCCACATCATGATGCAAGACCTTCAGACCACGTCCCAGTTCTACCTTTGCATTTGTCACCCTGAGAAAAAAGAATTTGCAAACCCGCTACAGAAATGCCCCCTTGCCCTATTTTCCATGTTGGAAAAAAAATACTCAAGCGGGTAGACAAGGATTCTCCAAAGGAAGAGGGAGAAGTTGCCTGGTCCCAGCCAAAGCCAGGTCAACCTGCAGTTACATCAGGTTGGGTTTTTTTAACTTGTCAGTCAAGCTCGGACCATCTCCAGCCTCTCCGGGCCCCTGTTCCTGTGCCCAATTGCCCTTGCTGTGACCATTCCTTCCCTAACACCTCACTGAGAAACCTTTCACGAATATCTCAGCTGGAGCAACACACAGGAGAATGAGCCCTTCTCATTCCCACTGCAATTGCTTCTGCCTGCGTGCTAATTTGTAAACCAGCTGAACAAAAGACAGACTTGGGGCTGGAAGTTGTTTTACTGTCATTTTTCTGTCCTTTGGGCAGGATGGGCAGCGCTGACGCAGCACATCACTGCCTTTCTCTGTACGTTGGGACAGACAAGGCAGTTCAGACAGATGGCCTCCAAAGCATACAAATCTCCGGGATTTTCCAAGATGTATTTATACTGCCATCTTATAGGGAAGAAATCCAGCAACTGTATTTTTGGGGGAAACAGCAGCAGAACACTGGACTCATGCCTCATGCACAGCTACACCAAATAGCACCATGCGGCTGCATGCCAGGGGGACAGGCACTGGGCAGACTGGCATCACTGGTGGTGCCAGTCCCGACCCATGGACATCCTTCTCCTCCTCATTCCCCAAAACCTCTTTGGTCTTTACCTAATTATGACTCAAGCCAACTTGCTTAACACCACTATGATCAAGGACCTTTAACAAGCACCAACAATCCATAAATCTGCTTTTTTAAGACATGGTAGAAGTCTAATTATACATGATTAAATTCTGTCAAAAATTAAAAGCCCACACACTTGCTCTAAAATTGCAATCAGCCCCTTTAGGTACCAAATAAAAGCAATGCTAACATTTCAAAGCTGTGTTGGCAACACAGCTGAACCGGATTATGTTGCTGACCCTAAACAAACTGAGGGCATTCCTTACCCTTCCTTTGAGACCCTTTATTTTCTACATATGCTAGTGTTATTAATACAGGCATGAATTGTGACCATACAAGCCCCAAGCATTAACGAGCAATGCAGCTCAAGCACCTATTAACTCCATATTGCATGTTCTTACTCTGCTAGAGTCCCCTGCTACTTTCTCCGGCGTAATACACTGTCAAACCTCACTACAGAGGTTCAGGAATGTTTTGCTACGAGCCCCTCTATTTTTGTGACAGCACCTTTAATGAAGATTCAGCTTTTCAAATACAAGTCACACGTCACTTAATCTTCACAAAAACAAGCACTGTAAATGAAACACAGCCTGGGTGTAAGATGGGAGAAGGTCTGTAGAAGATGCACACTAGGATCAGAAACGAAACGTGAAGCAAGCACATCTAAGACATTTGGGGATTTTTTTAGAGGCGGAGCATAATTTTAGAAAAATGTAATATTGCGCATTAGAGGTGAAGGGAAGTTTGTGGTTATTGTACTTCTATGAGTCGTCTAAAAGTGCCCAGGAAGAGCTCTGTCACACCTGGGGAACAGCAACCACACCGCGAAAACATGGTCACACACAAAACCAACAGAGCAGGTACCCCAAGAAGATCGATTAAGGTGGGGTACCAGCATCGCCTTGCTCTCCCAGCTCACCACTAGCACTGTGCGACCACCAACAGCAAACCTCAAACCCCAAACGACTGCCGACATCCCCTTGCTCTGGTCCTCAACATGGATGCATGCCTACAAAAAGGGAAATAGCACCTGACAAGTTCCAAAGGGCCTTTTCATTTAAGTAATCACATAGGAGAGCTTTCACAGCTTAACAAGAAAATATTGTTGTTAGATACTATATTTTTAATTACATGCATATAGGTAACAAATGGATGAACGCATACTATGTTAAGCCCAGGCAGCATCCCTTTACATACCTGATCTGCGCCTCTTCCAAAACACTTGCATTAAGGAAGGTTCTTCTCAAATAATATGGGAAAATGGGTGCAATAACTAAACCTGGTTCCTCTATGCATTTGGGCTGAAAGGCCTTTCATCTCCCCCTCTTCCCACTCTCAGAGTTAATACCAAGTGTGAGGAGCAAAGAAATACCAAGCTCAAGGAACAAGGGGTGGGGTGGACCAAGCCAGCAGTAAATAACCTCCGTCA